CTGGTACATCACTGAAGCTATGCCAGTTTATACCAGTGGAGGATTAGCCCCAATATTTTTAAACATTGCCTTGGCCTGTCTGTCTTCTGGGGTAAGGCTCCATCTTACAGCCCTAGGGCAAAACTCCCATTTATATCAACAGAAAGATCAAGCCCATAGTGCACTCAGGCATTGTTTGGGCATTTGCCAGAAGCATTTGCTTCCTCTTTACAGTACTTGGTGTGATTTTGGTACAATGCACTGAAGAACCTTTGAACACCCGACAGGAATGGTCAGCAATCCGAAAAGAGTGGAAGGTTCTTTAAAACAGTAAGGTGCTGAGTTCTGAAAAATTCATTCCACGCTACTGCCAACTCTCTGTCTGCAGGGCTTCGGAGGGCAGAACCGTGGAAGTGCCTTACAGAGGGGACGTGGAAACTACCATCCTCGATATCCTCGGGGGCCTGCGATCCACCTGCACCTACGTGGGAGCTGCCAAGCTCAAAGAGCTGAGCCGGAGGGCGACATTTATCCGGGTCACCCAACAGCACAGCCAGGTGTTTTCTTAACCAAGGACTGGGACCTGTGACATCTGTCTGCCACTTCTCCCCACTCCCTCTGTGTTTTGTGTTTGGGGCAAACCCCCCAGGCGGTGGAAGTAGGGGGGGTCAGTTGCCACTGGTGGCGGGGTTTAGCAGAAGGACATGCCATCAAACACAGTGCCATATAGGATTCTTTTGGTTCACGATGCGATAGCCTCATCTTTTAAAGTCACGTCTGTTTGTTTTCAATCTAGTTTTTTCACCGTTCATTTTTCTCTCTAATAAAGAAGCCTCCATTCACAGTGAGTTAGCCTCGCCAGACCCTGGTCGCTGTTACCAAGTTTTGAAACATCCCCACAACCTCTCGCCAGCACCGCTCCAGCAGTGTGGGTTATAGGAGCTGCCGGCTGGGAGGGGAAGGGGTTCAGTATGTTGATCGGGGTAACCAAAGATCAGAGCCATACTTTTTGACCTTTCAGGTGGCTGGATGAGCCCAGGTTGCTGCTGCATTTTCACTGTGATGTTAAAAATGCTGGAGCTGTATCAATGGCATTTCATGCCTTTTAAGGCCTTTTTTATTTAAATCAATATATTAACGGACTTACCGCTCCATAGACACTGGCATTATAATGTAGTGAGTGCTTCCTCCTCCCACCCCCACCCAGAACATTTAACAGGGTACTAGTTTTTTGATGGGTACAATCCTCAGATCCTCAGGGGTCCTGTTTTTATCATCTCTGAATAGGTTTTGAAGCTGTAGAGACACAGCACTACTCAGCGCCAGTGGCCTGATTCTGCAGAGCCTTGTGATTTGCATAGTCATTTCAAAAAAGAACAGGAGGACTTGTGGCACCTTAGAGACTAACACATTTATTTGAGCATAGCTGACACAAAGCAACTACAAAGACACACTCGCTTTGGCCAGGTGTAGAAATGATTACACATTGAGCAAGGCCTGGGGAATCAGGCCAAGGGGGTCAGATCCATCTCTCTGTTACCCTGGTGCAACTCTTTTGAAGTCATAGGTGTAACCGAGGGCAAAATATGGCCTGCACTAGACCAGCTGAAGACTTCATTGCAAGAAGCCAGTTGTCTGATCTTGAGTTAAAGCAGTTGCTGTGAAGGAAATAATGAATATTTTAGACTCTGGGCAACACTTTAATAAACTGTAATGGTAGACTAATTAATTGATAAATCACAATGAAATTTCTTTGGAAGTACACATTGAATTCCCAGGAATATCACAGTAGTTCATTATGATAAATGTTATTAGAATGAATACTAATGAATTAATAATGACCGGCCACTTACTTTAGCCTGTGACTGAGATTTCAATACAATTGGAAACTGAAGTAACTTCAGAGTTTTTTTTTCCCCTTCTGTGGAAAGATAGAGACTTCCTTTGGAATGCAAAACTGTGACCCGTGGGAAAAGGAGCAGACAGAAAGCAAATGGCATTATTCTAGCATTCTTTGTTGTTCAGAAAAGATCAAGGAGGATCAGTACAATGGAACATGTTAAGTAACAAACCTAAACCCCAAATCAGTCACTGATGGTGTTAATCAGATTATGCATAATGGGAAAAGCCTAGATGATCCTTTATCTGAAGGCAGGTGGTTTACAATAAAATGTTAAGTATTCCCCATTAAACATTGTGGACCTGATTCTAATTTACAATAAGACTTTGCCCTGGTATTGTACAGGGGGCCTTAAAGAGGGCATAGGTCTCATGTACACTGATTTTAAGGCCCATTTACGCTGCCAGAGTGATGTAAAGAAACCTAAGTGTAAATGAGAATCAGGCTCCCAGGCCCTGCCAATTAATTTTCTTCTGAAGTTGGAATTTGTATGTAGTGAACTCCAAAAAGGCAGCCGAATGGTTTCTTTACTAAAAATAAATAAAAATACTGTGGGCCAAATTCTGCTGTCAGTTAAGCTGATGTAAACCCAGAGTAATTCCACTTAAATCTCTGAAGTTACTTGGAATTTACATAGATATAACTAAGAGTAGACTGTCTCCCCTCTCCCCCCCCTTTCTGCCCACATATCCTCCAGCCACATGCCCACAAGAAAAGTGTATTTGTATACAGGTAAATCAAAACTTCAAGGAATAAGGTTATACTAAATATACACTCATACCACCAGTGCATTCCATACTTCAGAAGTGTGGCTCTCCCCTAGACGCTCCAAGGTTGGGATGCTAATTGTTTTTATAGGGCTTTTGGGGCTACGTTTTAAACCTCTGCACATTTAAAAGACTAGATCTTTAAGGTACACATTGGAACTGCTTCTTTTCTGCAGTGAAAACTTCTTGATTCTCCACTGCTGTGGCCATTATGGAGTCAGTTACACCTGTTTCTTCAGAGGACACCTTCAGTCAGATGGCTCCTTTCACGATGCCCCTTGTACAAAATACAGCACACACACACGTTTGAAAGTGGAACAAAGAGATTGGCCTGAGGCTAACACAGGACCCAGTCTGGTGAGGTGACAGGTACCCTCAATGTCTGTAGGACCCAGCTCCTCCTTCCACTCCAATTAGAGGCCAAACGCTTGTTGAATTCATTGGAAATTGAGGGTGTGCTACACCTGGCAGGATTAGGCCCCCAAGCAATTAACTTGAGCTACCTCATCTGATCATTTTACAAGGTTCTCCAGTTCCTAGTGTCTTTCCCAGCAGCTTTGCACTGTGCTGCACTTCATGAACTGCTACTGCCAAAAGAGGCGCCCCCTCCCCCCCCCCAGCTACCGATGACAGTGGGCCAAATTCTGACTTGCTTTCCACACCCTTGTAACACCACTGACTTCAGTGCATAAGAGGAAAGTTAGAATTTGGCTCATTGGCTCCATCAAGGTGTAGCTGACGGGCCACGTTGCTTTAAAAATGAAGCTAGTTAAAACAAATCTGATTAACAGGTTCAGGTACGATAATACACATTTAAAGCCAAAGCCTGCACAAGGCATAGGAGGCTCTGTGTCCCCCAGTCCATCTGTGAGACAGCAGGGGAGGCCGAGGAGTGCTACTGTCTGTAGGAGTGATGCCTGCACCACAGCACCAAGGGATTGTGGTCTGACAGGGAGTGCTGTGTGGGAAGTGACTGTGCTGGGACCAGGAGTGGGGATGGTCTGCGGGAAGAAGAGGTGCACACTGCTGTCCTCAGCCCACTACCTCACCCTGCTCAGCATCCTCGGGGGGGCTCTGGAAAGCACCATGGGACGGGCACACTTCTGTGCCTTCCCCCTTGCCCTGAGTGGGTAAGTGTTGGATTTTGCCCTTGCTGCTGTCAGGTATTGTGTGCAAGGGTGGCTCCAGGAAGCACAAGTTAGGAGGGCTTTGGGGAGGTTTGCTGAGGATGGGGAAAGGCGAGAGCTTTTGCAAGTCTTCCAAGACACAATATGACACCATCACTGGATACAGGATTAATGTTTTAATCCATGGGCCCTTGTGGTCTGAAACTCGTGCTGGGCCTAATTCTCACATGTACCAATTTCACATTGGTCTAAACCCATTGACTTCAACAGAGTCTCTCCTAATTTTCACCAGTGTAAATGAGAGCTAAATCAGGCTTCTCTCGCCAAACTGATGGGCATTTAGGCGAAATCCTGTGCTGCTGGAGTCAATGGGAATTTTGCCGCTGACCTCAGAGACACTGCAGGATTTGGCTTTTCTTGGTTAGAGTGGGAAAATCACAAGGCCTAAGAGTGGCAGTGTGGCTGAACTGCTAAAGCCCACCTGCAGCAAGGCACTTGTTTCCCCCCATCTAGAAGCAATGTGTTCTCTTTGGGGGTTGGTTAAGAAAATTTGAATAAGCTTGCGGTACTGCCACCTGCTGCATGACTTCTCTGCTGGAAATGCCCTAAATGTAGTCAGTCTTGGCCCACTAGTAATAAGGGGTCTCCCCACCACCTGCCTTAGACTTGGTTCTTTTTTATTCATTCAGACATTTAGGCCTGTCCTCTGGATGTGACTTCACAACATCAGCTATTACACTGCTGACATGCATAACATTTCCAAACGTATGTAATAAATAGCCCAGAGCTTCTTTCTGACAAATAAAGTTTGTGATCATTTTGAAGACCATACATGAAGTCTTTAAAAAAGAGTGAGTTTTAACCATTTCCATAACACTGCATGCACCACAGCTGAGATGATTAAGAATGGGTATCTTCTTTCCTCATTTGTAGCCAAAAAACGGTGCACAGAATGCGTCCGCCATGACGAACCTGCTCATATAAAGTGATCACGTTATGCACCCTGGCTGTTCTGTTATGAAATAAATGGCTCCATTCTGGCGGCCTGGATGGGAATATACGCTGTATGTGGGAATGTGCAAACTTCTGTGTATAGTGATAAAAGCAAACTCCATAAAAATGTATTCCTGAAGCTAAATCTGAAGAGGGAAAAATTAAATGAACAAATTATTCATTCACAGGAAAATTGTGTCTCATTCTTTCTGAACGCATAAAGACAGACACACATTTGCAATTGGCACTGTTATTTTATTAGTACGAGTATACTGAAACAATAAACTTGTACTGGTATACAGACAGTTTCTTTAAAACAACTTTGTTCAAATTTTGAATCAAACATTGTTTTATTATAATAATGAAATAATTTCTACCTAGAAAACCTGCAAGCACCATCAAAGAAAGGGACCATAAAATTCAATAAACAGACGCGAGTGTATCCTACAAATAGACACACCACCATTAGAAAATAGAATATGAATTCTTCCATTTTTTTAATATTTGTTTTAAAAAAGCTAGTGCAAGTACAATATTTTACACTGGAATTACAGAGAGTATGCACGCATATGGAAAAAAGTTCTCCTGTCACAATAAAAGCTCTTAACTATGTCTGTATGCACTTAAAATTTTCTCTTTTCATTAAGGTGCAAAACATTATTCCCTCCCTATTTCTCCTTTGTACTGGCCATGTCAGCTTGATTTCTCCACAACACAAAGCTGCATTATCCCTTTTTCTGAGCCTACATTAGGCACAACACTGGAAGTGTGATTTGCAACAACCCTCTTCAGAAATACTAAGCAATTAAAACCTTAGAGACTATTATTGTGGAATCACTAGACTTACCCACATGAGGACTTTCCTCAAGTGCCAGGACTAGTTGGCCAGTCCAAGCCTGCTGGCTGTCAAAGACTGTGACACTGATACTACAAAATTATTTTCAGTAGCTAATTTGAATGGAAAAAGTTGGAGATTCCCCTTTTTAAGCGCTGCAGAGAGAACAGCGTTCACAAAAAGTTAATATTTTAAAAAAGCCAGACAGAAATACATACATTAGTGAGTTGCAACATTAGCTGACTGTCTGCGAAAAGTTATACCTGCTGCCTTAATAAGATTAGCAACTTTGCTAAGTAGCCAAAGGGCCAGACAGAAGGCATGAATTCAACCACTTGCAGCCACAGTTACAGAGATCCAACAACTACTGACTTCAACTGGAGAGAGGGAGAGAGAGGGAGTGTGTCTCTCTCTAAAGCTAGAATCATCAGGCTCTTTATTTTTAAAGCAAACATCAGGGGCCAGATCTAGCTGGCTGCCGCTGTTTTCACACAACCCAGTAATACAGCTTCAAAGAGTGAGTAAGGATTAATGCAAACAACACTTCCAATGCACGCCTGCAGCATGGTCAAGGGAAAGGGCACAGGAGCTTTGACCACTCAGAATAGAAACAAATGAATGAACAACAAAAAAGTCAACCTTGGATGAAGCCTCCAATTAATTCTCAGTGGAAGACTTGAGTGCTTTCAGATAACGACGAGTAAAACTATAGCAATCTTAGAGACTGTTATTGTATAACTACTTATTGGCTGAATGCACTTCATTCTAATACATTTGTTGGGGCCATTCTTTTGGGTGTCAAGGGGTCATTTTAACGTGGTAATTATTTTTCCCCATGTGACTGTTAGGTATCAGAACTGAAGCTTGCGTTACAGGCTGTCAGGGGAGGGAGAGAAGGGTTCTGAAAGTTAACTGTTTATCCCCGCGGTGCGGTGCGTAGGCTCCCAGCTGTCCAATTTGACCTTTGGCCAAGGAAAGGGCCCTTTCCCTGGAAATTGCTCCAGGATTCTTTCATTTTGGCCTGTGAATAACATGAATCTCTAAATCAAATAAGAAAGAACCTGTCCAAGCTCAGAGCACATCTGGAAAAATTGAAATTCATGTCTTTACCTCCTGTTTAAATGAGGTGGGAGGGTGTGTGTACACAAAAGGCCATGTCTCGTTGGATATTACTCTTATTTACTGGTAAGCGAGGATTCCTTGTTATAAACACTTCTTGTTCAAGTTATAGTCTTTGGGTTGATTGGAACAGGAAGTGCTGAAAATGTAGAACAGCATCCCAGAGGGAGTAAAGAAGTTACAATGGCTTCAGAATCTAAACTACGCAGGGTGCTTAAAGATATATTTTCAGCGCAGGAACAAACAGTGTGAAGCATTCCCCCCTTTCCCCCGCATCAGGATTTATGTGATATGAACAGAAAATTGAGGATAGTTGTTCTTTAAGAGCCTTTTAACTATATAATTCTTCCTGTCCAGAGCCAATACAAATCAGATCATCTAAACGTGACAGTTTCTATATACAAAACACATGTAACTTTCAACCTTTTCTGCTTTTGTATTTAAAAAAAAACTTTTTTTTTTTTTTTTTACAAACAAGGTATGAAACACACTGTTTCAACAGATCCATCTCTTTTTCAAACACTGAATGAATCATTCCAACATTCATTTTTCTTTTGTGCAATTTTTAAAAACATTACCTGTACTCCTCAATGTGAGTGCTTCCAAAAAGTTTTTTTTTGGTAAGCTTCTCAAATTAGGTTTACATCAAAAAAATATTCCCACAAGGTATAGTGCTACAAGAAAAGATCCTATCAGTAAGGTAACACATCTGAAGCGAGGTCGTCTATGTAAAAGAAATTAACTCTGGAGTAGAGGTGTGCAACTTGTTTGGAATTTCCTTATCAACAGAAAACACAACCCTGTCCTTGAAAAGGATATGAAATCAACTGAACATAATAGTTATTTGCTTTTATATTCATATATATATGTGTGTGTGTATGTGTCTGTGTGCACGTTTGTGGGTGGATTCTTTTTTATTTCAGGATTTTGGGGATTGGGGAAAAAAAAGCCATGAAAAGAAAAGCACTGACCACACACTGCTAAAATTCCTTTGCTTTTCATATCAACACTGGGTAAGTCCACAGATTGGACTCTGCTGTTGTCTGGTGCTGTCTCCACTTTCCCGTTTTTGCGTATGCTTCATAATAGAAGTGACAACAGGAGGTCAAATTCTCATCTCAGTTACACGCATGCAAGTCTGGACTAACTCCACTGATGTCAACAGTTACTCCAAACATATCGCTGTTGTAACTAAGATCGAATCTGGCTCTAAATGATCGAGCCACTAATTTCTGTAAACACTTATACCTGTAGTTAACATTCACATGTAAGTCCCCCTGCCTTCAATAGGCCTAATCAGATACTTAAAGTTAAGCATGTGCATAAGTGTTGGCAGAACTGTGGCCTAGTGCCCATGGCATTGCATACTAACAACCCGAGTGAGTGCTAGTGAAATAACACTATTAGTATTTTTACAATAGCTAAGATTCGTTCTCCCTGAAACATTTTTTTTCATTTTAGTAGTCACATGCATTAACAGAATTTCATCATTTTCTTTAACATTGGCAACATACTTAGGTAAAATTAATCTCTGTGCAACGAGAGAGTCTCATGGTAACCAACAGCTATGGTTCACTTTGAATCTGCTGCTTTGTATTGCAATCTATGTGATATCTACAAAATTAATCCACGAGATGCAGGAAATCCAAACTTGTCTTTGAAATTGTACATCCCTACTCCAGAGCAGTAAAAGTGCTGCTTCTGGTCACATCAGTGTACCACACATACGCCAGCCCCGTCCCTGAGTAAGAGGTGTGAAAGGTTTCTAAATGTTCCTTGCTTTAGGGAAACAAGAGCAGTGATGTCACTTCCTGGTGCTGAGAAAATGACAGAACAACGGTTTAACCAAGTGACGACAGGGTTAAAAAAAACAGAACCTCCCCCCCCAACATACATTAAAAAAAAATCCCCCCCAAACCCCACAACAACAATGTACAAAATCATTAAACAGTTCAAACAAAAATCCAATTTGGGTTTCAACTAAAGGACTTGAGGTAAGTGACATCAAACTCCAAATTCCCCATGATGTGGCCCAGACAAACTGAAACGATGCCTAAGTTAAACACTATAAGGAACAGTCATTATCTAGAGAGAGATAGAGAGAGAGATTGTTTTTTTAGAAATCCCTATAAAGAGGTTCTTGTTTATTTTTTTCTTTTGCCCTGACTAGATTTCTTGGTGATTGTATTCATTTCATTGTAAACTAAACAGGTCTGGTAAAAAAAAAAAAAAACTAACGACTTGTCAGTTAATATTGCAAAGTGGACACTGTAAAGAGGCCCATGACTAATCCTTTTACACCGAACTCACCTAAATATTTCTCTGCCCATGATTGTTATTTTCACTGTGCACCTCAAGCCACAAGAATTCTAGCCACATCTACACTTAAAAATCAGATCGACCTAGCAATGTTGCTCAGGGCTGTGAAAAATTTTCATACCCTGAGCACCACAGTTAGGTCCACCTAATCCCCAGCGTAGATGTGGCTAGAATTCTTCCACTGACCTAGCCCTACATCACAGAGAAGTGGATTCACTACGCTGACGGAAAGCCCCTTCCGTCTATGTAGGAAGTGTGTACACTACTGTGTGTGGCAGAGCTGTAGCTATTCTGCTGGAGAGCATACATACCCTTACTCCTTTGAGCTATCAATGGGGTAACTCGCCCCACTGGATTAAGGATTTACTCATGTGAATAAGGGGTCATGGCCCTGCCAAACTCCAGATGCCACCAGGCAAACCAGATTCAGCCAACTGAAAGTAGTCACTTCTTTCTGTCCATTTAGGGGTGAAATTCCCTCCTGTACAGAGAGCCAATACCAAGTTAATGCACCAGTTAGTGACATAAGTGGTGTATAGGCTTTGTGCTGGCTTTTTGCACAGGGGTGAATTTCACCCACATTGTACATCACGCAGATGGTAACATTCATATACAAGAGCATGTAAAGTATACGTATATTTTATATATATAAAGTAACAGTTACAGGCATAGTTTGAAGAGAAAATGACACTGACAGTGCTGTAGAAGGCTGCTTTCACTCATGTAAGAGACGATGTTATTTACTCATGACTGAACTGTTTGTGATTTACAGGTCCCTCACATTCTCAAAATTCTTATCCCCCCTTTAAAAATCTTTTTGTGTGTGTGGGGGGAACACCCACTAAGCCTTGTTCTGGATCTTCTTTTTTATATTGCAGAGGCCAGGGTCTTACATTTGAAAGGATATGGACCATCCAGGGCCATCGATCCACGTGTGCCACACTTGTTAACTACATACAGATTCTGTGCCCCCAATCAAGGGAGGTATAAGGCCCTAAACACTTTTTTTTTTGTTTTTTGTTTTTTGGGAGGAGGGGGGTAGAGAAAACAGTGAAAGAAAACAAAAAGGTGAAAGTGGAAGAGGGTGTGAGATCTAGCTACCACCACGTGGGTGGGTCTACATTGGCACATAAAGTATTGCACATCCTAAAAAAGCAAAAGCACAAAAAGGGACAATTGCTTGGAAGGAACCAATTATTTCAGAATTCCTAAATCTGAAATACCAGCACAGAACTAATACATTCCTATTGCTCCAAACTTTTTTTATTTGTTTACCGTTAGTGTTAGTAGAATAGATCCAGTCAGTTTAAGTGTCCCTGCTTCTTTATTAACCAAAAAGATGTGTGTGTGGTTTTATTTTAGATTTTCTGAGTATGTGTATTATGAATATAGTGGTACTAACGTGAACTAAAATCTAATTCTGCCCACATCTTTCTATTCTTCTTACCATCAAAGGTTAAAACGTAACAAAAACAAAACAAACAAAACAACAATAAATTGCAAGTGCCCTGAGCAGAGTATATGGAAGATTAAGCAAGTTCTCTGAGCAGAAAATGTTAAAAAAAAGTACAGCACTAGATAAGCAGTGTGACCGTGAGAATGAACCTGCTCAGCTATTTGGTAGCCTGCTGAGAGGTTAATGAAATTCAAGGAAATTCAAGAAAAGTTTCAAGCTATTTTAAACTTATTTAAATGTTTTTGGTGCACCGCAGAAAATGGTATAAAACCAGTTAGTTCTGGTGTGAGCTAAATTTCAAGTAACGAACAGAAGAACCAAAAAGCTGGGGGGGGGTTCAGATTTTTTTGTAAATAAAGGAGCTGGAAATACTGTATTTTAGGAGAGGGAAAATGAGATTTTTAAGGAATTTGTTCATTTTAGATACTGTATCTCTAATTAAGAACTTTTATAGCCTACTTCTCCCTATTAGTACAGCTTCTTCAAAAGTACTTGAAGGATGCAAACTCAATTACAAACCAAAAGTAATAGTAATATAAAGGCTTAATCCAAAACCCACTGAAACCAATGGGATTGAATGCAATGGGCTTCAGCTCAGACCTGAAGTGCTTAGTATTTGCACCTCCTGTAGAAAGATGTGGGCCAAAGATGCACAGCACCTCTAAGGATCCGGCCCTACCTTTGTTTCAGATTACTGGGAACAAAAAAGACTTAACTGTCTGAAACCCCCATTCCCTCTCACTGTTTTGTACCAAACTCTGAAATCTAGATTGTATTTCAACTGGAAAATGTCATTAAAACAACAAATAATAATAATAATAAAATAATAACGGTTGTTGTTTTTTTTATAAAATCCTGCTTATGTGTGGAGATGTCTTTTCTGGAAAACTCTCTCAATGTATCTGAAGAAAAATTCTCCGAGTTGTCCTGCTAGGACCTGGTTCTGTGCGACAGATATGGCAGAAAGACCAAAAATGAACTTTAAAGGAACGTAACTCTATAAAATGGCATAGAGCTTAGGCAGGTTAGTAAATAATTGCTACATTTGTTTATGCTCTCTCAGTCCCCCTCCCTTCCCCACAACATTATTAGGTAAAAACTGCAGGAATACCACACAAATGATAAACTCAAGATGTGCAAATTGCAAGATTCTTTAAAGTCCATCTTTTTCAAAAACACTGGACAATAATGATTTTTTTCCTCTTTCCTTTTTCCTCTCTCTTATTCTTTTATTATCTGTCAGCTCGCATATGCCTTTAACTCTTTCTCAAGCATTAAAGTTTTAAAAGTGCCTCCTATTAAGTAGTCCTTTGTGGACAATGACTGTCACATACTAGTTCAATAATTCACATTCATCCCTTTGAAACCACATTAAAATTTCCAACATCTTGCTTGTGAGAAAACTCTACATAGTCATATGTAGTTAACAGTGTTGAATAGATTCTTTTTTCCCCCTCAAACAGATTAAAGTGAGATACAGTACTTATTGAGTGTTAGACCAGGATGCTCGACAAGAAAGCGTGAACAGCATTTTAAGTGCTTAAAGACATTCTATGTTCATCTTCAACGTCCGATTCCTTGTGTCACACTGAATTTTGAAAAAAGTGGCACCAGTTGTCCATCGTCATGAACTAAAAACAGTACTAGAGTTAAAGACAAAGATTTGCAACCTAAATGCAAACAATTTATGTCTGCGCTCTCAAAGGGGCAGTACGTGTCTACCTTGTGGAAGCAAACGTTAATGGCATAACCTGATCAGTTTATCTAACACTGCACAGAACCAGGAGTTTCCCCTTAGCTAGGGGACCCAACAAACTTTAGGCTTCCCTCGCCCTGGCTATGTCATTAAGAAAAACAAGCAGTGTAACAATGCAAGCATAGGACCTTACTGAATGTTACACTCTGGCAATGGAACTGCACTAGCAAGCTGAAAAGAAACATCTGCGTGGCAGTCACTTTATGAATAAAATTCAGTGCAGTCGGACCCCATGGGGGAAAATATATATACTGTAGAGCCTTGACTAAGAGTTGGTTTGATTGTGAAATGTGTCAAAGACTGTCTGATCCTTTTTCAATAATGTGTGTGTGTGTATGTGTGTGTGTGTTGGGTTCTTAAGAGTTCTCTTGGCACGAGAGAACCTCCTAATGACCCAGCCAGGGAGCTGCAATCCCTCCTTGGGACTGAAACACACACAATGCATGCAGTGCAGTTTATCTCTGCTACAGTTCCCTTCTCGTCACCTCACAGAAAAAAGAACAGCTGGAGTCTGCTCTACACTAGGTGACAGAAAACAGGAGCCATGACAACACATTCATTTCCACTAAGGGTGCGTGAAGCAGATACTGCCCCTTCTGTAGCTCTCAATAAACCTAGTCACTGACAAAACACTTGTGGAAAAACATATGCACCTGTCTCCTGCATAATACCAGCTGCAACTATAACAACAAGGTTATAACATAAACCTAAAATAAGATGATAACATGTAAATACTGGGTTATTTAGTCTACAGTACAGTAATCTGGATAAAAATGACAAGGGATAGCCTAATTTCCTTTTCCCAAACAGCCTTTACTTGCCTACGTTAGATCGACCTTCAATGCAAATTTTAACCTCCTGAGGAATAAAAGAAGGCTTGGGAAGAGTCAAAGGTGGTTCCTCTTCTGATTTCTCTAGTTTCCGTGTTTCAGGGGCCGACCACCTCCTCTTCCTCGTCGCCGTGGGCTTGCTGGGTTCTGTTTTGGTGAGCAAAGGTGCTGCAGGCAATCCTATTTTGTCCAGAAACTTCAGTTCACCATTCTCAGATAACATCTGTACACTTCCCTGATTAATACCATTTTCCTGCTCCACATACCTGTGTCTACTTCCAGCTAGACTGTCATTCTTTGAGTGCTTCAGCAAGATACTAGCTGAATCCATGGGCTGGCCCTTTTTAATAGAGCCATTCTTCAGATTCTTGAGAGTAAGCGATATGCAGACATCCCCAACTGAGAGTTTGGAACATGGCAAATCAAAGAGCTGGCTGGTTCTCTCAGGGCAGCAGGATGACCAGCCTTGTCCAAATACAAAAAAAGGGTATTCGACCAAGACTTCAACGCTGACCTGTAGAAAGAGAAGAAAACGAGAGAGAGAGGGAGAGAGAGAGAGAGAACATGAATCTGAAAACACTGATTCACTACAGTACGTGCTCAGCACACACACAGTTACGGTCAGCTCTTTAGTTTTAGCTGGAGAGACTGATAAATACGTGCACTGTAAAAGCTTATTCGGTATCCATAATGTCACTACACTGGACATTACACTTAATGTTTGTCCTTGTTAAAATGGCATTAACAAACCCTCTGAGACTGGCCAATCCTCAGCACAAAACCACAACGTTTGAGCCTTATCTTTATCATCTGCTCAATGACGTGCAATGAAGCCTGAGCAAAAACAGTTCGGATACCATTTATTAATCCTTTATTCGCTGTGCGTTTATTTTATATAGCCGGCCATTCACATTTCCCTTAACCCTTAGAAAGTGCGGTTACTCACCCTGTGCACTAACTGGAGCTCTTCAAGATGTGTGTCCCTGTGGGTGCTCCACTTTAGGTGTACCTGCGCCTCTGATCGAAGCATTCTGGTAGTAATGCCAGTTCTGCCAGGGCATGTGCCCTACACATCCTCGTGCCCGGTACCGAGGCTACACAGGGCTGTGTGGGCAAATGCCCTCAGTTCCTTCTCTACTGTAAAGCCACAGAGGCAGCTCCGAAGCAGGGGGAGGAGGGCAGGTAGCAGAGCACCCATCGGGGGACACATCTGAAAGAACTCCAGTTACTGCACAAGGTGAGTAACTTCTTCTTCGAGTAGTGTCCCTGTGGGTACCCCACTTTAGGTGACTCCCGAGCAGTAACTCTTTAAGGAGATGGGAATTTTGGACCAGACAATGCAGTTCTTTCTTCAGTGATGGACCCTGCTCCGCACAGGGGAGGGAGGAGCGAGGAGCAGGGTCCATCACTGAAGAAAGAACTGCACTGCCGAATACCGCACCTGATCTTGCACTGTGAATTAGAGCACAATGGTCGGAAAACGTGTGCACAGAGGCCCATGTTGCAGCCCTGCAGATTTCAGCAACTGGAACATCTTTGAGTAGAGCTACTGATGTAGACTGTGATCTAGTCGAGCATGCAGTCACTTTTGTGGGAGGTGTAACCTCAGCAGAGCCACAGCAGGCAATAATCTGTTTAGAAAGTCTTTGAGTGTGGCCAGGCACACCCTTAGAGCTATCTGCAACAGAAAAAAAAAAAGTCTTGGGGTCTTCCTGAAGGGCCTAGTCCTGTCCAAGAAAAAAAGCTAACACCTGCTTAACATCTAGTGTAGGAAAAGCAAACGGACGTGGTTTAGGGAAAAAATTAAAGGTGACTAGTTTGGTTGATATGAAATTGAGAGGAAACCTTAAGTAAGAACTTTGGATGAGGTCATAAAAATACCTTCTCCTTGGGGAACAAGGGAAAGTCTGCCATTAGAGCCCGTATCTCCCTAACCCTTCAAGAAGAAATGATGGTCACCAAGAAGGCAGTCCTCATAGACTGATGTAGCAGCAAGCACATAGCAAATGGCTCAAGGCAGGGCCATCCTTAGGCATATGCAGAATACGCAGCTGCGTAGGGCACCACAAAATGTGGGGCACCAAATTGCCCCAAATTTCACGGCGTCCTACGCAGCTGCATGCTTCGTATGCAGTAGCGTGGGGGGCCAGCCCCATCCCCCAGCTGGCCTCCCTGTGCATTCCTACAGGGGTATGGGGCCTGGGACAACTCCCTCTGCCCCACCTCTTCCCGCCCTCACTTTCCACCCCTTCTCCGAAGCCCCCCCAGTGACGGATATAGCCCAGGGGATTGGCGGGGGGGGGGGGGGTGGGTTTTGCATCGGCAGCAGGGGTCAGGCCTATCCCCGCACTCACGCGTGGTGGCAGGAAGCAGAGCAACCCAGCCCCAGCCCGCTCCACTCCGCTGGCTCCACACCACCAGTGTGTGTGTGCGCGCGGGGGTGGGGGGGTGGACCCCTTCCCCCGAGCAACATGGCGGGGGCAGGAGGAGCGGAGCGGGCTGGGGCCGGGTCGTTCTGCTTCCTGCTGCGGTCACCAGGCCCCCCCACTAATCCCCTGGGGCCGCTCTGGGCCTGTAGGGTACATAAACAGTCCTGAGCCACCCCTGGAGACATTGAAGATGCAACCTGGTATTTTGTGTCAAAAAAACACAAGCTGCCATGTGTCCCAATAGTTGCAAACATGTCCTTGCTGGAACTTGAGAGCTGAGCTACACTCTTTGTAGAAGAGTCTTTAGAGCAGAGAACCAGCTGAGAGGGAGATAAGCTCTGCGTATTATCAAATCTAGAAGCGCTCTATAAAGAGAATTTCTTTTGTAGAGGTAAAGATGGATTTCTCTAGTTTTATCGGCAGGCCTAGACTTCGGAACAGTGAAGTTGTTCAAACTGCCAACCATATCTCCCTTGAGGAGCCAATTGTTGAGGTAGGGAAAGAAAGCTAATCCTAGACAACAGAGGTAGGCAGCTACGACCTCCATGACTCTAAAACACCCTTGCGGTGGATAACTGGCTGAAGAGTAGGACCCAGTACTGGTGGTAATTGTGATTGAGAGTGAAACGAAGAAATCTTTTGTTAGAAGGCTGAATCACTATGTGGAAGTATGCATCTTTGAGGGAGGGAATTATAGCTGCTAGGGACACCATCTTGAATTGCCTGAGACCTAGTCTCAGCCTCCAATCCTCATTTTTCTTGGGTATCAGAAAATATCTTGAATAGTACTCTTTTCCCCTGTGTTGAAGTGGGACTGGCTTTATGGCTCCCAGACTTAGAAGAAGTGATGAGATCTCGTTTGTCAGCAATTGGTCATGAGAGGGGTCCCTAAAGAGGAATGGAGAAGGAGGTTGGAAGGGCAGAGTGGATGTAAATTGGATAGTATAACCCCAAGTAATGACCTCCAATGCACATCTGTCTGATGTTATAGCCTCCCATGCTTAACGAAATAGAGAGAGGTGTGTCCAAATTGAGGAAGGAAGGTTCTGTTGTGCAGCTGATTAAACCTGGCCATTGGGTGGTCTGGACTTGACCAAATCATCAAAACTGATGTTTGGACGATGTTGAAGACTGAGATGAAGCAGCTGAGATAGTGATAGGGTTTTTTTTAAAAAAACCTCAACCTCTTAGCCTGTGGTCCTGGTGGCCTAGGGAAGGCAGAAAATTGAGCAGGATGGGATCTCTGTGTCAACTGACACCTGCTAAACATCCTTCTATTTTCAGGTGTGTATATCCCTAAAGACCTACGGTGTTGCTCTCGAGTTCTTTAGGGTATAAAACCTGTCATCTGTGAAAAGCTTCTGGCCATCAAAAGGTAAATCTTCCAGAATCAATTGTACCCAGACAACTGAAACCAGGAAGCTCTTCTCACCACTACTGCAGCAGAAATAGACCTGCCTGCAGCGTCCACCACAAAGAGTGAAGCTTGCAGTGCAGTTTTTGCCAAAAGTTGACCTTCCTTTATTATGGCGCTGAACTGTTCTCAATGTTCCTGTGGTAAATGATCAATAGAAGCATTAAATGTCTCGTAGTTCTGGTAGTCAGATTCTGACGTCAACTCTTGGTGGTTAGCTATCCTGAAGTGTTGCTGACAAATAACTCTTTGAGCAAACAGGTCCAGACACTTCTATTCCTTATTATAAGGGGTGGCTTTTGGGGTATGCTGCCTGCCCCCTCCTTTGACTGCGTCCATGACAGGAGTTTGGCGCTGGATGAGAAAATAAAAGATCAGAATCCCTGGACAGGATATAGGTGGGTTTTTTTTGAATCAGCCCTCTTGCATGTAAAGAGAGCCACTGCTGGAGTTTGCCAAATGGACTTGGCTGGCTCCAGGAGAGTTTTGTTAATTGGCAGTGTCACATGTGCTGAGCTAGAGGTGTGCAATGCATCCAGGAGCTTGTGACGGGAAACCTGGATGTCTTCCAGGGGAATTTGCAGGGCTTCATCAGGTCCTGGAGTTACCTAAAGTCATCAGCTAATGATGGCATTGGTGTGATGACTGCCTCATCCAGTGATGACGAGATCTTTGTGAGGGGGATAACCTTCCTATCTGCCCTTGCCTCTTGCTCCTCAAAGGTTTCCTCCAGCTCAGAATGGGGAGGAGGAGCGGATGGTAGCAGAGAATGAGGTCTTCTGTGTTCCCTGTGGGACTGAGTTGAAGTCTTTCAAAATTGCTGGCAGTACATTGCCCATGGATCCCAGTTAGGCCAATGAGGGAGACCATAGCCATGGGGGGAGGAATCCAACGCTGGTCATCCCAAGGGTTGGAAGGCAAGGGTCTGGTGTCCTGCCTCTGCTGTTGCATATGCAACTGGGAATAACATCTCCTGGAATAAATTGCAGATCTTCCACGTATTGCATCAGAGGTGACAATCCCTCCTCATGGACAGTTGAAAGTGGAGAAGCAGGTCTCCCAGAAACATAAGCAGTCAGTGATCCATGCAGCCTTGACACTGAGAGACGTCCAGAGTTTGCAAGGAGTGGAGACTCAAGCTCATTCGGTACCATAAGGTCTTTTTGGGTACTAAAAATCCTGTGGTACCAGAAGCACAACAGAACTCAGTACTGGCACCAATGGTGTTGCAGAGGCTGTTGTGCGAGGCACGGACATCGGTGCCAACGAGACTGGGGATTCCATTGAAGCTGGTCTCTTCGTAGTAGCAGTCTTTCATACCAAACCCTTTACCGCTTGGCACTTAGGTGAAAGCTAAACATGCTTCATGGTACCCGAAGTACTCGGAGCCACACTAGCACTCATCTCAGGGCCTGAGGTCTTATGTTTTGCTTGGCTTATCTCCTTTCTTAAGCTTGGAGAGGGATGCTCTTGGTATCGGTGGTATGAACATAAGAACGGCCATACTGGGTCAGACCAAAGCCATGCAGCCCGGTGTCCTGTCTACCTACAGTGGCCAATGCCAGGTGCCCCAGAGGGAGTGAACCTAAAGGTAATGATCAAGTGATCTCTCTCCTGCCATCTATCTCCACTCTCTGACAAACAGAGGCTAGGGACACCATTCCTTGCCCA